AGTTTTTATCAAATGATATGCCTTATCTCATTCGCTATTAGATGCCCAATTAAAATGTTTAAATCTTGGGTCAAGAAATGTGGCAATTAAAGCATTATCAGACGGAACGGACCATAATTCATCTAATAAAGATAAATTGCAACTCAAACCCTTTCAAGTATCCCAGTAACATCAACTGATAGTAAATATTCTACTGATTTGTATCTTCTGCAACGCTTTCAGTTCGTGTTCATTTCATTATTAGTCCTTGTTGAGTTCGTCTTCTTCCTCGGCCATGAGCACTCATTCTTTGATTAAATTGTCGATGCCATATTGCCATTGTTGATGAATGCCAGCAACATGTATGTCATTATCAAATATTTCATCATCATTTTCTTCACAACCTTCTCCATAGATAAGATTTAGATATAAATCAACTGTCTCATTTTTGTCTGATCTTAGAGCAAATTTTTTTTTAAGTGATTTCATATATGGGTGAATAAGATTAAGCATTGGTAATTTGCATCACACAAATGTCAGGTCACAATTTCGATCGGCTCCAATAACTTTACAACTTCTTATAAAAATCTATAATGTAAATAAAAAAATTAATAAAATAATTAGAAAATATAAACAGAAAAGAAGTTAATAAAAAAAACTACTCTTTTTCTGCAACTAATAAACAAAGGCGTTCTAATTTTTCACCTTCTTTTTGGAAAGCGCAATCTGATTCAGAAAGTAACAAAGTTGAGACATATCTTATAAAATTATGTAATTCTAAGATACGTTTCCAAGCCAAATAGATGGAATTCTACCTGGTTTTTACGTCCATTAAAAGATCAAGAGGGTTTTGAACAGTTTCTTCTCCAGCTTGATTAGATTCACTTTGCATCTCACGCAAATATTGAGCCTGCTTTGGAAGTCAAAAAAGCCTGCAAGCCTTTGATACGATGGTGTATGGCTTTACATTACTTCAGTCTTTCTTGGACTGATAATTGTAATGTATGCGCGGCACAAGATTGACATTCTACGCTATTAATGTAATTATTATTTAACAATATTATTCCCTTGACCATGTTAGCGCTATTATCTGTAGTAATAGTAAAAACTGTTATCTCAAGACGCCATTCGCAAATTATCCGAAATAACTCTTCTCTAATTACTTCTCTAGTGTGTGGGTATGGAAGATGTTCACATGAAAGAAGGGCTTCTCGAAATTGAAAATTGGAGGATAACCAAGTTGCTGTAACACCTAAATAATCATGTCGGGATTTTGCAGTCCATAAATCAGTTGTCAAATGGATGCTTGTTACACTATTACGAAGTAAAGAGCTGAGTTGTTAATAGCTCCAATTGTACACTTCATGTATTAGTTCCTTAAGCGGTTTTAACACATGAAATACGAAATCCTGGCTCACACGCATAAATGAACTCACAAAAAAATTGATTTTGTAAGATATAAAGGGGTAAGACCAAATAAATAATAAACTGAATCAATTTTTTTGCTAAAAACTCTTGTCTTTTAGCTGGATATGGTGGTGCCACATTATTTGTATTATTGTAATAATCTGTTATTTGGATTTGATCGTATTTTGGCTAATAAGAAAATTATCAGTTATGTTATTAAAAATTACCAATATACAAATCAAATTCAATAATATAATAATTATAATTAATAATCTTATCTCTTTATGTTCATCTAAATACTAAGTGTAATTATCTTTGGTTATGGCTATCTTGTAAGTGGTTTATCATACTTGTTGTGTTTTCACCTTTACGAGTATATTCATAAGGCTTTTTACTGGTTCCTACAAGATTAAGCTCGCATATTTTACAATATACTAACTCAGAGTTATTATCATCTACTCGAAAGAAAAAAAAGGTATGACTTTGATTACTACGCTTGGCTGCTATGTTGGATTTTCGTTTTTTTCAACTATTCTTTGATTGTGCAGACCATGTAGTATTGGAATCATCATCGATATCCGAAACTGAATGTAAGGAAGACATTTGATAATTGGTATTTTGATTCGTTCAATTCAACAATTACTTGATTTATGGATGGACAATTGTTTGGTTCACCATCCCAACACTCCAAAAATATATTAAAAAACGATTTTATTTTTGAATTCGAATCGTTAAAAATAAAACTTTTTTTTTTGATTTTGTAAGAGATTATCTTAAATATTAGATTTTATATTAACACTGTAATCTAACTGTAATCTGTACTCCTGTACTCTGTAGTACAAAATTAGTCGATTAATATCGATAACCGGTTTTAACCTTTAACCGGTTATAATAAAACCGGGTTATCGATTTATAAAATTTCCGAACCGGTTATAATCCGAACCGATTAAAACCGATTATAAATCCGATATCGATAACCGGTTCCAACCTCTATCCTGGACTAGTTGGCATTCTGATTTATTTATTATTTCCTTTACAATAATAATCTTTTGTTAATAGAAACAATGGGAATTGTAAACGGACCTAGTTGTCTAGAAGACCTTTTTACAAATACTGATGCTTTTCCAACCGAGTCTTTATCGGTTCAGGTACTTTAAACCTTGAATAAAATTAGAAAAAATAAAAAAGAACTATATAATGTATTCTCATGATTTTAATTGTCTAAATAGAGTAAGACTGAAAGATCGGTATATAAAATGTTTAAAGTTGTGAGAGAAGAGAATTCGTTAAACACGTAAGTATATTAATTTTAGTTGAAATCATACATCAAGATACTTTAGAATTTCGCGTTTAATTCTTAATACTCTTATTTTATTTAAGAATTAAGCTTAACAAAGAATCTCATATTCAATATATAGCAGAAGGTTTAAAAGGATTAAGTAAATATTTAGTAGTGTTGGATGCTAGTAAACCTTGGTTATGTTACTGGATGCTACATTCTTTGGATTTACTTGGTTATGAGTTATCTACGAGTTTGATAAAAAGGTATCGGATATATTTGTTAATCCTCGTGACTGGTTACATATCTTCCATGTAATGCTTGAATTACCTTTCACGTAGAGCTATTTCAACCATATCAAAATTGCAAAATCCTACTGGGGGATTTTGTGGTGGACCGGGTCAAATATCACACGCTGCTGTCACGTTTGCTGCTGTAAACGCGTTGGCGACTTCTGGAATTAAAGAAGCTTATGATTTAATCGATAGGTTGGATATTTATGAGAATTATAATTAAATTTTTGATTGAGTTAGCGTTAATATTATTTTGAATATGACAGGGAGAACCTTTATAAATGGTTTCTCAAGTTAAAAAGGAACGATGGATCATTTATCATGCATGAAGGTGGCGAGGTTGATGTGCGGTAAGAAAAATCTAACCGTTTATCTTTATCTCTTTGTAATTGTAATTTTGTTTAAAAGAAATCTTTTTTTTTTCATTTGCTCGTAGTGGTGCATATTGTGTTTTATCTGTGGCCACACTAACTAATTTGGTAACACCAGAGTTGACAGCGGGTACTGCTGAATGGATTAAAAGGTAAAAACCGTTTTACGGATTTATAATTTGTCATTAATAGCTTTGAGAAAAAAAAAATCTGTTGAATCGACTCATTATACATTATTTTAAGGTGTCAAAATTATGACGGGGGAATTGGAGGAGTACCAGGCATTGAAGGACATGGTGGATACGCGTTTTGTGGTCTTGCTGCCATGGAGATATTGGGCAAAACTGATTTACTTGATATTCCACTACTTTTGGTAATTTTTTCATTTCATAGACCAAGTAAATTTTCTAAAGAAATTACTTAAGGGTTCGTTCCATTTCTTTTAGCGCTGGGCATCATCTCTTCAAATGCAAATGGAAGGTGGATTTCAGGGACGACCGAATAAGTTAGTCGATGGTTGTTATTCATTTTGGGTCGGTGCCTTGTTTCCTTTATTGGAAGCAATATTGACAAGACGTCAATTTGAGAAAGATGTAGTAAATTCAGAGGCTATGCAGTACCTTAGTGAGTTATTTTAAATATTATTAACATTTTTTTTACGAAAGAGGTCATATAAATTAATAAGATTCTCCTTGATTCGATTATCCAGCTCGACCATTATTTGATAGAGGTTATTTTATTATGTTATATAAAACGTTTGTCATTTATTTATTTATTTATTTTGTTAACAAGAGAACTAACTTCATTAACTATATAATACAGAGGCACTTCAAGAGTATATTTTGATAGCTTGTCAAAGCTCTAAGGGTGGGCTGATTGACAAGCCAGGACGTGGTCCAGATCATTATCATACTTGTTATTGTCTTAGTGGTCTTTCTACCGCGCAACATCATGTAATTTATGATTTTGAAAGAGCGAAAGGAGAAGACTTGGATTCAGGAGCTAGGTCATTACTATGGGACGAAGAAATTAAAAATCGAGTGGTTGTAGGAGATCCAGATAATTTAATCGTGAGTAACAAACGAAGTTTATTTCTTTTTTTATAAATGATATTTCCATGTTAATTATTCTTTTTGCTTGATTACTTATTATTTAGGAACCCACACATCCGATTCATAATGTTACATTACCAAATATCCGGAAAATGATTGAACATTTTTATGGGAAAAGAAAATTGTAGATCTGAGCGTTATATGAAAGGAATATTATTATTATTATATTATTATTTTTTTTGTACAATAATAAATCTTTTATTAAACTTTGCAAAAAGAAAGGTGTAAGGATAATTTTTTTTTTCCAATTTACAATATTCTATTTGAAAACAAATAAAATAAACACAATTGTTGTCATTAAAAATTGATGCTTTTTTTTTCATATTAATTTTTTTTTTTTTTTACAAACTATAAATGATATAACGAAAAATCCCTAATACATCTTTTTCACATAACAATTTCTACATAGTTTTATGCATTTATACCTTTTGGTTTTTTTTTTCTTTTTTTTTTGATATAATTTTATCATGCCATAAAATTATTCCAATCATTTCAATTATTATTAATATAAAGGGGAAAAAAAAAAATTTTTTTTTTTTCCTTCCAAACTTGATTATCTTCAATCAACCTCTTCAACAACTGTTTTTCCTTCGGTTTTTTCAGTCGTAACGGCTTCCGTAACACTTCCACTACCACTAGCAGATGCTTCAGCAGGTACATCTTCCTTTTTTAATTCACTAGCTGCTTCAAAATTTTCAACTAATTCAGGGATATCATCATCATCTGCAGTATTTTCGGATTGCACACGTTGAGAATCTAAATTAAATTGTTGATATGATTCAGCCAATTTACGAAGTGAAGCAAGTGAATCAGGACCTAATTGATTCAAAATTCCCGGTACAAGTTCAGTAAGTTCTTTATCTTCGCCTTGACCATAGATAGCAAAAGTATTCGCGTGAACTGATGCATGAACTGATGATATTATATAACGATAAGGTAAGGAAGTAACTTTTAGTAACTTTTTGCATCAAGATATGAAAAGGGATGTAAATTATATATACCTTTGGGGGCAGTAAAATGGATTACATTGCCATCTTCTTTAAACATGTTAACCTCTTCAATTGCTTGAATAGGTTGAACGTTAAGTTTTTTCAGTGTAGATTGAAGTTTCTTATCATCATTTGTAGCAGTTTTATAAACCTTTTTAACTTTACGCCTAGGTGTTCCTTTACCACCTATTTAGAAGATAATTTCATTAAATTCTTTATAATGATTTTTTTAAAAAAATCAATTTATCAAAGTTGAATTTAAATTAATGGCTTACCAATACGAACTTGATTCTGAAGTTTGGCAAGTTTTTCCGGATTCATTATTATGCTATATATTCTTTTTATTTTTTTAAAAAAAAACCGTATAAAAAACCGTCAAAAAAAAAAAAAAGAAAAGAACTTAATTTTTTTTTTTTTTCGATTGATATCTTATTTAAATAATAAACAGTTCAGTTTTACCAGTAGTATTATTCGAAAAAATTAGTTGGCATTAAAATATATATATATATAAACAGAATGGGGGATTTTATATATATATATATATATATATATTTTTTACGAACGTTTAGTTTTTTTTAAAAAAAAACCGTATCCCCGCTTTATTTCTTTCTCCTTTGAAAAAAAATTTTTTTCAATTAATTAGATGTCACGTGAGGATCTGATCATATCTGATCATATCTGATTGATCATCAGTAACATGATTTGTAACCTTTTGTATAATTTTTTTTATTTGCAAATTATTAATTATATTATCCGTTTTCAATTACAAATAAAAATAACTATTTTTTGGATTGAACATTTCCTAAAGTAGAAGCAACCTGAGTAGCTTCTTGTATAGTCCTAGCGAGTGTAGAACGTATTTTACCATCTTCCATGGTAAGTAAACCGGCAATAGTGCATCCAGCTGGTGTGGTTACACTTTCTTTAATTTCAGCCGGATGTTTGCCAGTTTTAAGTACCATACGAGCTGCTCCTTGAAGTGCTATATAATCAAGATGTGATGTCAATTAAATTGAAATACATTTGTAAAGGAAGAAAAAAAGTTTAATTGATCTATTTACCTTGAGCTGCTAATTCTAATGCTACATCACGTGGAAGTCCCATCATTACTCCTCCATCCGCAAGTGCCTCAAGCACGACGCTTTTTGATTTAAAATAAATTAATAAACGACGTGATTATTCTTGAAGAATTTTACCAAAGAATCTTTACATCACTCACCATGCAAAAGCAGGTCCACTTCCCGAAAGGCCAGTCACGGCATCTAAATGTTTCTCATCCAGAATTCTAACTCTACCCAATGTAGAAAACACCCAAGTACCAAATGATTTATCATCTATATTACAATCCGTAGGACAGCTTAACACTGTCATGCCCTCTCTAATCTGTATAATCCAAAGGGAACGAGGAATTAAAAAAAAAAATAATAATAATAATAATAAATATAAATGCATTACCATGCACGGAGTGTTTGGCATTGCTCTAATAACACGAGTTGAAGAAGGAAGCCATTCTTTTAATCGACTTATTGTCACTCCCGCTAAAATGCTTATTATTAGCTTTTCCTCAAGTGCTTCTGCCATACCTTTTTCTGTCAAGATATTTTTTGCAACTTGAGGTTTAGTACTTTGGTTTAAATAAAAAAAAAAATGTTATTTTAAAATTAAAATACTTTGAATTAAAAGAAATAGTTTTGCATTTCGCCAAAAGAAAGTTAACTCAAGCTACTTCGATTTCTCAGGTTTTCTCAATTACCATAAAATTACAATATTAGCATCACTGACTCCTTCAACATTCTTTCCGATTAATACAGTAACTTTATCGTTAAATGTCTTGGTAATTTTTTGTGCGGACTCTTCTCCTGATACGCAAGCAAAGAATTTTTTTGGAGAGTAAGTAGTCGCAGAACTAGCAGTTTCCTCATGTGAAGTCGTCTTTGTTACTTTTAAACCATCTAAAATTCCGGATAATATAGCCCTGCCCATAGTACCACAGCCAAGAACACATATTGTAGGATTAGTGGAAAGTGACATCTTTCTCGATGAACCAAAAGACTGAACTGATAACAATACGATTTATTAAAAATTCCCGCCCTTTTTTTAATATACATAAATTTGGTATAGCTTTCAAGTGGCTTAATTGATCTAATTGATCTGTGTGATTTGTGAAACAAGCATAAGTCATTTTTTTCTGATATTTTTTATGCAAACCGGTGTTAATAAAGACACTCGTAAAAGTTATTGTTACATAAGTGTTCCAAATCAAAATAATAATAACGAAACAGATTGTTAACATTTGTAATTTAACAAATTTTTTTTTTTGTTTCGTTTTCGATTTTAAATAGGGAACTTCAATTGAAGTTTAAAATCGTAACTGTGCGGTCTGATCATATAAATTAGATCGGTCTTTAAAAGATCGGATCCTCAATTTTTAAATTAAAAATTACTAAATTTATATATTCGAAAATTTTGAGGGTCCGGCGCGTTAAAAAGTTCGCGTATGCGATAATGTGATCAGTTGATTGTAGTCCCATAATAAATATTACATCAAATTCTGTAATCGGATCGTAGATCTTAAAAACAACTCGGTCAAATTGTAATTTTTTTGATTCCTATTTTTTTTTATCGGTCTGAAATACAACCCACGACGTTATATTATGAATGTCTTAAAATCCTTGAGCAAATTTATTTGGGGTAATTAGGGACCATTCCTTACAGAGTGAGTTTTGCATTATTAATTAGTATAGTGATTAAATATTATATATATTTTTTTTTCTTGTAGGAAACCCCGATAACCCTGAACTCATAAAGATAACAAATGGTGAACTTTACCTTGTCAGACCAAATAGTTTAAAAGGAAACCGAGAGTGCATGTACGTTTTTAATAAATGATTCGCATTTTAAGACAGTATATAGACTAATTTATAATTACCGATTTTATATATAGTTTTCATACCGCTCAAGCTAGCGTTCGGCGTACTGGGGCCGATTGGCAATATCAAATAGTTATCAGTAGAGTATTTGATGAAGGTGAAGAAGAATTGATGGATGATGATGAAGAAGAATGTATGATAAATTAAATCATATTTTATCTATTTTATATAATGATATAACAGTTTTTATGGTTTTTTAGTCGATGAAGAAAAGGTTTTCCTTATAGATGAATCTCTAAAGTTTCGTAAAGGTCAATTCGAAGGTCTTGCCTCATTCTCTTGGAGGGATTTATCGGGAGTAAGTTGTTATCAAATCTAATTTTTTAAACGCACGTTCTAATTCCAAGTTGAATTGCAATATATATATATATAGGACCCTGATGATTTATTTGAATTTGTTTGTGACATAAATATTACCGCTCATACCGTAAATACCTTTGAATATACAGTATATAACTGTATGTTTGAACGAAAATTCCAATTATCTCATGACGAAGCGACGGAAGAAGGGATTCAAAGTTTTATTTACGAGTAGGTCCCTTAGTTTAAGCAAACTTTTGAAAATATTTGCATATTTGAATTTACTTTCTTTAATAGGCCAGGAAAGAAAGATGATCAAATTGATAAAACACCACCATCCACTCCAAAGAATGGAAGATCTATTTCAAACAGTCCATACGCTACTCCAACGTCAGCTAGTACGACTCCGAAGAGGGCGCGAAATGCGGAAAATCCATCCACCCCCACAAAGGAGGCCATTATACTAGAGCTCCCTGGCGTCGGCTCGTTTAAAACTGTTTCGATTATTGATGTTGAGGTCGAATTACACGTCTTTGATCCACGTACTGCCACATTTTTAATGCAGTCACCTCTAGCAACAACGAGCATTTTAAGAGGGAATGGTTATGAATGTATCCTTTGAGCTTTTTGAACCTCCTCAAATCATAAATATTTTTTTTTTTAATACAATCATATTTCTTTAACAGGTAAAATTATTCAATAGATTGGCTCCTTGTTGAGGATGATAATCAAAGGCATGTGACACAGAGAATAGAACCGAGAATGAATCCGGTGTTCAATTCGGTAAGATTTTTTTTTTCATGATTCGAGTAGTTGCATTATCAATGGTAATATATATTTCTTTTGAAATAAAATATTTATAGACACATCACTGTTTTATATGGGTACACTTTGATGGTAAATATCTATTTCTTTAATGATGATATCCTAAATCACGATAACAATAATCATTTTGGATCTACTTTAGGAAATAATCTGATCCATTCCTATTTAATCAAATTTCTTGGCTCGGATCATGAAACCAGCTTTAAAAAGAGATTCACTTCAGCTATGTATGAAACTTTAAACGAGACGAAAGCCAAGGTTTTTTTCATCATTTCAATAATTATCTTGAATATTTTACCTTTATTATTATCAGTTGCTAAAGCTATTCATTTAGGAAGAAGAACAGGATTATCTTATAAATGCATATCAGGATGAAGATGTCGAGATGAGTGATGCCAGGGATTCAGATGAAGAGGAATCAGGAGAAGGTATCTCAAATCATATTCATAACGTTTTGTGTTTTTTTTTTATTCACATTTCTTATATATTGAAATTTCAAAATACAGAGACGGATTCATCAGAAGAAGACAATGATGATATCAACACCGAAGCTGAAGAAGGAGACGGTGTTAACACCCAACTTACCGTTGGTCATAAACTTGATAGATCTTTTGTTCTTAAGGGCAATAAAATTGGTGTATTTAAACACATTGACGATGATAAGATAGAATTTTCTACTAATATCAATAATATATCGACACCTAAAGGCAAAAAATTTAATCCTTCAAAGGTTATGATCTTTAACTTTTTGTACGAAATGATTTTTTTACGTTAATATTTACACCTGTTTGTTTGATCTTTAATAGATGATGTTGCATGAGGGTGATTCTACCATGATTCTGATGGATGAAAACGATGAACATAATCTTTACAAGATGGACTTAGAATATGGAAAAGTAGTAGAAGAATGGAATGTTCATGATATAGTTCCTGTTGCAAATATTTTCCCAAAGAGCAAATTCGCTCAAATGACGGGAGAAAAAACATTAATTGGTTTATCACAAAATTCGATATACAGCATCGACCCTCGCTTGCCGGACTATAAATTGGTAGATGAAAAACGTCGGCAGTACGTTACAAAAAATGATTTTCTCAGTGGAGCCACTGATGCGAAAGGTCATATTGCCGTGGGAACTGCTAAAGGAGATATCAAATTATTTGATTCGCTGGGAAAGATTGCAAAAACAAATTTACCTGCCATGGGAAGTGCTATTAAAGGAATCGATGTGACATCTGATGGTAAATGGTTAATTGCTACTACCGATAAATATTTGCTGTTGATAAACACAGAAATCAAATCCGATCATGAAGGTAGAACAGGATTTGAAAAAAGTTTTGCAAAAACAGAAAAGGTATTTCTTTTTAAGAATTAGATGATAGTTCAATATGAATATATATTTATTTATTTTCATTCATTCTAAATTAGCCAAAAGCCAAAAGGCTACAATTGAAACCGGAACATTTAGCTCTTATGGAACATGATGTAAGTATTAATACGTTTTTATGTTGAGAGATATTTTATTTTAAATCCGCTTTGGAATGATTCAAGGTTAATTTTACGCCGGCAAGATTTAATACCGGAGAATATGAAACCGAAAAAACTATTATCACTAGGTAAAATGAATTTTAAAAATTTGGGGAGATTAATATATATAAGCATTATGATTTAAATTCGTTATTATTTCTACTTATTTAGTACTGGACCATTTGTTATCACTTGGAACTTCCGACAAGTCAAACTAGGCAAATTAAATGATTATCATATTAAACGCTATAGTGATGATGTAGTCGCAGACAATTTTAGATTCGGACAAGATAAATCAATTGTTGTTACTTTGCCACATGATGGTAAGTTTATTAGAATAATTTATTATATCACGATCATTATGATTTATTTACATTTAATAAAATTTTCGTGATCTTTAGTTACTTTAACCAGAAAGAAACATTTATCAACTCCGACAAAATCTATCCTTACACCTTCAATGGTATGTAATTTTTTTTTTTTGCTATTTAAATTTAAATTTGAATTTAATATTAATAAAACTTTTACTAGCAATCTACTTCACGATCAAGAAATAATATTGTAAAAACATATGAAAATTATTAGTTAGTATTGCGACGACCCATTGTATAATTATTATTTGTAGAATCAAAATGTTAAATTTGATTAATAATATTTCGCATATTAATCTTCAAAATTAAGATAACTTTAATTATAAGTAACATGTGATTTAAGCTTCACAAAAAAAAATTTTTTTTTATTCTCTATTGTTTGATTCTTTGAATTCAACCATTGCTAATAAACAGACCACCTAGTAGGCGATAAATACTGCGGTATCACCTTGTTATGTGGCTACATTTTTGAAGTTCATCATTATTAACCAATTATAATTCATGATTCGATGAACAAAATTGAATAGAGTTGATGCATAAGTTGATAAATTTTACACCAAAAATTGCATCTATCGGAGCCTAATCAAATGCTGAATAATAATTGGATGAAATACACGTCATTTTTACGTGAACCAGGGACCTGTAAAATTTTCGAACGCAATCTTTCGAAAGACTTTGATTAAATCGAAATTTATGCCTATTTTAATTGTAAAGAATATTATTGGTTGAAAATCGCGAGGTATAAAAATATGATTGGATATTTATCTAACCAATTTTTAATGCAAATGCACTTCGTTGAAAAAGAAGTTGGTCAAAACTAAACGAGTTATTCATATACTTGCCAAAAAGATTTTTCAAATACTTTTGGTATCCTTAATAATTCCCTTGTGTTTCTTTTTTGTGGACATTCTTTTAGTTGGGAATACAAAGTTAGTGTTTCTTCACATGTTAAAAGTAAAGTTCCACACAAAACACCCATCCTCAAATTTTAGGAGTTTTATCTGTTGCAGAATTTAAAAAGGTGGTAGGTAATTCAGGATCTTGTAAAAGCAATTGTTAAAGCAAACATTCTTTTAGAAAAAATAAATGCACTCCAACCTTTTCTTAAAAAACAGTCACGAAGGTGGTGCAATTTCACAAGCTGATGCATTGAGGCGAAATTACTTACCAGAAATTTATCAACAACATATTGATGATTTAAAAGAAGTTTTTTGAAATAAAACTATCAATAATTTTTGATGAAACAACTGATAGTCAGGCTCGAAGTGTTGTTAATATCTTGTTTAATTATCATGGTAATACAAGACTTATAGTGGTTAATTTCTTGAATTCTGTTAACAATGTTACTATTGGTTAGCTTCATGTCTCTTGGTATCAGATTCAGCATTTTTATGAAAAAAAATTATCACGAAGTTCTCAAACCAATTATGCCTCAACTTATTCATTAACCTTGTTTACCACATTTTCTTAATCTTATTAGGTAAGAAATAGTTTGATTAAATTAATCTTTTTTGTATATTTTTGATTAGTCAAGCATAGATATCCATCACGCATTTTGATATAGTAAAAACCCAATTGACAAATATAAAGAAAATCTTTATGTTGATTAAAGCTTAGCGTGTAATACCTTTGTTTTTATCAAGAAATGGTATATAAAATCCTATGAATGTTTATCTACTTGATGGAATTTTTGGTTTAAAATAGCCTTTTATGTAAATGATCATTATCAACTTCTTCGAGACTTTTATTTGAAAAAAAACAAAAAAATGAAAATAATAAAACTAAAGAAAAACTGGTGGAAATTTATAATAATACAACCAAAAATGGTTGCATTCAAATTTATCTTTCTTTTAAATTTTTTTCGGCAAGAAAATCTTTCTTTATTTCCTTTTATTGAGGAGTGGTTGGAACAACTAAATACTTATATTAATAATGGAGTAATAATAGAAATGGAAAATTTTAATGAATCTTTAATTATTATTATTCAAAACCTTAAGTTTACATTTGGATCATTTCAGTTAATATTCAAATCTGCTTATAATGCAGCTTTTAAAAAAATATAAAAAACATATTTCAAATCACCTATGTTATGCATTTTTTAAAGCAACTTGAATATTTGATCTAAAATTTGTAAATCTTGCTTTAACCCAAGATATTCTTTTTTATAGTAATTTAATAGTTGAATTTGCAAATCCTTCATATTGTCATCGGAACTTTTTATCGCACGTGTTTCACTAAGTTACTTTACTGCAACAAATAAATTCCTTATTGTTGGACTTTACAATCTTAGGAAATCTCACATCCTACAGGTATCTGAAATGCCTTGAAAATTACTTCACTTAACTTTATGAACTTAAAGATTTAGGGACTTAGGAAAAAATGTAGAGAATTTATTTATTCTAAGTAACAAACTCAAAAGCAAGTTAGTGTAGTGATTCACAATCAAATCCTAAATGATGGACATGTAGAAGGAAAAGTAATTGTTTTTCAAAGTTGATTCCTTTATTTATTACTTGAAACTCATAAGTATTTTATAATTTACAAGAGAGTTAATTTACAATTGAAGCAAAAAACTATTCTATTTATACAAAATTAATTGCTACGGCTAACTAGTTGCTACGTTATAAACTAATTACATTTGTAACTATAAGTGCTAATATAATGATAATAATAATAATAACAGATATAATAACTATAATAATAATAATAAAAATAATAAAAATAATAGAAATAAGCGTTATAACAATTATCCAGCTTATAAGAATTATCAAGTGGATCCTAAGAATTCTAAAAATCCTATAGATCCAGAATTATGCAGATCTTCTAATTTGTGATTAATATAAAATTAATTCTAGTAACTTCTGTAGATCGTTTGATAATTCTTTTGTAAATCAACTTTTCAATAGTGAATTTTTAGCCGATAATAATATGATCTCATTTAAGAATAGAACATATATTGCAATTTTAATTTAGCATTAATTGAATATTTAAACTTGAAAATTTTTTGGCAAAAAATTTCATATAATTATCTCTTCTTTTAATCAAATTGCTTTAGATTATATTTAAATACCTATTTCTTCTTGTAGTATAAAATGCAGTTTTTATGTTTATAATAATATTTTGGATGAAGATAGAGAAAATCTAAATCAAGATTTCTTTTAAATGCTTAATACTTTATATTTCAATTAAATATAATTAATTTTGTTAATTTTATAATTATATATAATTAAAACATTTTGTCTATTAGTATTTGATTTTAATTTCAATTAGAATTATATATCTAATTGTTAATTCTAGCCAAAATTATGAAATCAAAATAAATCAAAATTTTTTGATAAATCAAAAAAAATTTTATGAATTCCTAATATGAACTTTTCAAAAATAATTACTACAATCTTCTATTATAAAAATTTCTTTAAAATAAAAAATGTCTCCTTTTTTTATCTTTATTCAAGAGTTTAACTAAATAACTATTTTTGATTTATGTAAAAATATATTCTATATATTCTTCTAAGAATGATTATTATATTAGGTAAGAATTCTTAAACTCAAGAACATTCTTTTACTTTTGTTTATTTATCTTACTCTATTTTTTAATTTTTAAATTAGTAACAAATGGAAGAAAATTTTCATAAATGAGTTTAAAATATATAAACTAAAGAAGCAAACTCATTCTAAAAAATAAAAATTATAGCTTTAGGTAAGAAATTGCTTTAGGCTAATAGACTTGTATTATTGCTAATTCATTAAGAGTAAAGTAGAGATCTGGAAGTACTTCGTGATTTTCTCTCTAATAAGTTATCTTTTAGCATGTTTTTTTTAGCAAAAGTTTTACTAATTCAGGAGAAGGAATAAGTTAGACATCTTCTTTGTAATATAAAACTAATATATCTACATGTTACTCCTGAACTAAATATGAGAATATCCTTCTTTATTTATACTGTTAATTTTTTTATCACTTTAATTGGCAGGTATTTAAAGAATTAATTTATCTTAAAGATCCATTATGATTGATCATTATTATAGTGAATAAAATGAAAGGAGAACTAAAAGTACTTTGTAGCATCACATTAGTCTTTTTCTTTATCTATTTAATGGCTTACTTAAATCTTTTTCATATAATTTTTTAAATTGAAACAGAAATTTTGTATCTAGAGAACTTTAAAAATTTAAAAAGTTCATGTACTTTTGAATTTAATCAAAAAGAAAAATAAAGATCACAGGTGAAAATTCTCTTACTCTACTGCTTAATATTTTATTTATTTCAAATTATTATTTTATTATAAATAATCACATAATAATTATTATAGTTAAAATATCAACAAATAGTAACTATATCATCGATTACAATTACAGGTATATTTGATTTGATTGTAAATTCCATAGCAATATAATATACATAGAAATTAAGATTTTTTGCAATAACATAGATTTAATTAAAATATTTTTTGCTTATTATAGCATATTTACTAGGATTTCATAAAATCAAATTGAATTGAATATTTGATTTATTTGAATTTGATTTGATTTTTAAATTAAATCAAAAGCAAATATTTGATTGAATCAAATCAAATTAAACTGAAAATAAAAAAATTTTATTAAAAAATTTATATATACAAAATTAAAAAAATTAGAACTTTGATTTTTTAAATATATCAGTTTTTTTTATAAAAAAAAATATTATTGATTTGCAATATCAGATTTTAGTCAAATTTTAAGACATATTATTATATGAATTATATCACTTCTAAGTTTATTGTATTCTGGTATAATTACATTACCACTTTGATTAAATGATCATTTTACAGGCACATTAGTAGATAGATAGTATTGATAAATAATCACACGCTATTATAGATAATATAAATAATTATTTTCATAACTTTTCTACCATTTTAATATATTTATAGTTCTTAGTTCTGGTAAACTATCAAAATAATTAAATAGTTCATCATGACCATTATTATTTCAAAAATATTTAGGAACAGAAAATAAGAAATCTCTATCATTGCTATCTTCATTATCATTAGAAATAGCAGTTATTAAAATTGCAAAGTAAATATAATGATATTTATCAAATTTACTTATAAATCTAATTGTAATAATAATAAATTTTTAAAATTTATCTAATTTCTATAGTAAAAATAAATTAGTAACTTACAAATTCTTTGCTTTTCTATAAATACATCATCATCATTTTCTATCCACCTCTGAAAATATTCAAGCTTTTATTATGAATAGAAATATAATAATCGCTATTTGTCATTCATAGGACAATTCAGACTAAATTCAAAAATCGCTAAAAATCAGTTATCATATATATAATCAATTTGCATAAATCAGAAATCAGACAAATCCATTTGACAATTCAGATAGTTATTTATGTCAAATTATTCTATATTATTTTTAATCAAAAATGATAATTCAGAATGAAATAAACAGTTTTATTGTTAATAAACTTATAAAATGATAATTCAGAATGAAATAAACAATTTTATTATAAATAAATAATCATATTTGGTATTTTTTATTAATTAGATTGATGGCTAAATATTCTTTTGCATTTCATTGGGTTAAAATCTTATAGTTCATTAATACGAATTAGCCTAAAATATAATGCATTGGAATTATGCAATTATGACTTTCAGGGTAAAAATAGCCCTTTAAATTTAACACCAAAATTTATAATACTACTAATTTGACTATCAAACATTAATTGACATATAAGTTCAGGTTCAATTTTTCTATTGTTATTCGATAAAGAACCTAAGAATTATAAATTTAAAAGTTAATAAATATATTCAATTGGAAAATTTTTATAATTATGAATTACCTAATATTCCATTCATATGCTTGAAAAAACACCAGAACATATATAATAGTCCATAATCAATTAAGCAATTGTATAAATAAAGGGATAAGTAAATATTCAGCATGATTTTATTATGATTATGATTCTTCTCTATCAGCTTTGCTATTTTGATAAATCATTAATAAGCTTTTTAAATTAGAACTGATTTTACAATTTGGTTTACTAAAATTAAGCAAATTTTTACGAAATGTATAAGAATATTTTTATTTACAGCTGAAAGATATTGAAATTATAATTTTACCTGGAATTCAACCTAAATCAGATAAAATCTGAAACTCATTCATCTTTTTTTGAATCTTTTCAAGGCATTTGATGTTAAAATTCCCTCATCAATCCAGCAGCATAAATAACACTAATACTATACATAGTTTCATCATTGGATTGGAACCAATCCAAATTCAGCATCAATCTGAGGTTTGAATCAGCTACTTCATCTCTAAAAAATTTTGCAAATCTTCTTCAGAAGATTTTTTTAATGTTGATCATCATATATATTGGTATAATATTATCAAAATATCATCAAATTGCCCATTGTCTCAAACAACTTTTAAAATAAGGCTAACGATATATTGAAGTGAATTGTTGTCTGATTTCAGAAAATGGAAATATTAAATTAGATTGAATTATTACTCAATTTGCTAAAATACTGATTTTTCAAAATAATAGTAAATAGTAAAGTCGTGATTTGCAGAGTGACAAATTAAAAAATTCTATATGTCTGCATTTCATTATAGCAAATAAATCTTCTTATCTAAAATTTGTCACTTCATATTTTGATACAGCTTATAATATTTCAGATAAAAAACGAAGCTATAAAATTGGTCTTTTAATCTAAGTTTTTTCTTATTAAGTATATCGAATCTGGAAAGTCTGGAAAGTGTTTAAAATCATTATCTCTGACTTTTATTAAAACCAGGTTCATGAATTTTATCAAAGTCTCAATTGCTATCTATGTAATGTTGAATCTTATCTGAATGTCATAATCCAAAGTAAAATCCACAAAAATTAGCTATTAATTATTAATTCTAAACCTGATAGATCTTGAAAAGGCTTATAATCAGATGATGCATAATTTTCAAATGTTTTGAAATCTTCATTATTACCTGATTCATCATTATCTGATTCATTTCTACTACAACTACTATCTGAAATATCATTTTTTTTAATGGTATATTCAGAAGATTTGGAAGGATCATCAACACTTTGTTCAGAATTGTTATCAGAAGGATTTATATTAGATTTTGGTTAATTTTTGTATCTATTTACACATATTTGAGATATAAATGTAGAATCAAAATCCTCTTGATATTTATTATCTTCTAATTTACACAGGTTGAACGCGGATAAATCGGGTACCTTCTCGATTGATCACTATTTTTTGATTAGTAATCAATAGATAGAAATCAGTAGATATTACAATCAGATATAAATCAGTTATTACCATAATCATAATTATTAGGTAGAATTACATAAATCAGGTTTTAACCTGATTTTAATCTTATTTTAAAAAATTTATAACTATATGTTAAATAGTAACAAATTGGGTTCAATTAATAATTAGTTATCAATCGGTTTAATACCTGATTAATGATTATTATTCAATTAGAATTTACCGATTGGTTTCTATATTAATAAATTTACTAATTGTTTCAAATTTATTAATTTATTAAAGTAAACTGATTGTTACAAATTTATTTAATAAGATACAATTAAATTACAA